TCCGAGGTGAATTTTCCACAACAACATTGCATTAATACATGCATTCGGATGCCATTCCACCAATGCGCCCATAGCGAGCGAAGGATTACGATAAAGTTTGCGTGCAGCATAGAAGTAATGCATCAGTGCATGCAGTAGTCAGGGGCTTGAGCCTTTTTGTGGCCTATGGTGCGATGGGCTTACCGATCCTTTCAGAGCTCCACCTCCGCCTATGCTCTGAACCCGCAGCAGCGTCCTTCGATTATCATTTTGAGAAGGTAGCGTGCTTCGGGCGTCGGTATCCTATATCTTTTCCGTGGAATGGGTTAAATAAAAACATGGTGATTGCTGGCAGGATGGTGGCTATCGGTTTAGCGGCCCTTAGTTGGTTGTTGTCTCGCCCCTCAACGGAGGTCAACGGACAAAGAAACGGGTTCGTTTTTCGTCGGCGCACTTTTTGGCTTTTGCCACTGCAGCATTCACCAGGGCTCACCATATTGAGTGGCTCACCATATTCGATTTTCACTCAACTTTGTTGGTGGAACAAAAAGTGATTTCTACACATAAAGTACAAGAGGAAATACCACTAGCTCGTAGTACCAATTCCATCACCATTTCATTACACTAGAATTAATTCTTCGAACACTGCAAACTGGGCCACAACCTGGATGGAGTTGCAGGCGCTTCCTTCACTGACTTGTTCCGTGGGGCTCTACTGCTATTGATGAACAATAATTTAGTCTAATGGATGGGCTCGGCGGCACTATGCTCGGAAAACATGAGAAAGTTTATTTTATTTCGACAACGCCCGTTCACGAATCAGGCAGCCGGGAAAGTCTTTGGCCATTTGTCGATTTTTTTTTCAAATCACTTTTCTTCTTTAGCCAGTGAGCAATTTATAAATATATGCCCCACCATAATCGTCAACATATTGCCTTTTAGCAGGTAACTCGTGGATGCCGTTTGTCTGGAAATACTGAGCTTTCAAAGCAAAAACCTTGAAGAAGTCCTCTTCGAGTAGGTTCGGATCATTAAGCTCTCCCTCTTTTGGTTGATTTGACAGCAATGGAAGCAGATGGTGTCTGTTAGTGCCGGGTCTGCTGAACGCAACAGGTGGGACAGAACGTCCCATAACGGGCTTGGAGACTTTTGCTGAACCTTCTTCCAAATTCGTTGACGAGCGTTGCCTGGTAAAGTAAACTTTTCCATGGTTTTAAGCATAGTGCCGGCGAACCCATCCATTTGCCCATATTATGGTTCAACAATAGCAGTGCAGTTCTTTTGGTAGGAGCTGTCAGTGAACGAATCGCTTGAGCTTCACCAAGTTCTGAAAGTTACCTACCAGGTTGCAGTGCTAAAATCGGCGCTGGAATCCTCGATCTACGCATCTGGGCCATAGGCTTCCGACTGCAGTTCAAGTAGTCGGGACAAACAAGTGACAGATGATAAATCTAAATTCAACGCAAAATCTGAGGCCTCTGACGGCGGTCGTCACCAATGTCGCGAAAACCCTTTTTCCATATTTTCGCCTTTCTGAGAAGATATTGAGGAACAGCTATTGTGTTCTGAAAACTTCGAAAAAGCTGCGTCATTTCCCGAGCATTGCCCGAGACTGTTTCCAACAGCTCCAGAAGACACTCGTCATTCAGAGGAACTGGCCAAAAGAATTTGTGCATTTTTCTCGAGTTGCTGGACAACCGTCTTCACCATATCGTGAAAGAAACTCTGGAGTGCAAGACGGGCTCTTGCCGCATCACTTCCATCGACGCGTTTTCTCGATTTTAGAAACATGAGCAGCCGAACATGCTTTTAGTCAAAAACCATTCTCATCTATAATCGCTGTGAGAAACCACAACAGAAATGCTATAAAGAGATCAAATGAAAGTTGAAAAATGCGCAAAAACTTCTCCTAAAACCAACAATTTTCGAGGTCTAGGTGCTTGGTCTTAGTCACACTGACTAGGTTGTCATAGTTTGGTCCCACTTTCGAACATTTTTTGAGTTAACTCTGTCTCAACAACAAGCAATATCCAATATCGATGTATGGACCATCACTACCACTAACTTGTTGCCATCGAATCACCGGGAGGTCGATGCCGTGCTCTCAGAAGATCGACAGTTTCAAGTCGAAAAAGGCAGTGAAATCGATTTCGCGCTTCTTATTTGAATCGTATTTTTTTTTTATGATGACTCCTTAGTAAGAAGAATGGATGGCCTATGGAAGGACGCTGAACATCGCTGTATGGTGGCTCTGGTAGGGCATTTCAACTAACCTTCAAATCTAGAGACGTATCATTTTCGAATTACGTGATCTCGGTTGTCGTAGAACGGAAGTACTTTATTGAATTTTGAGCGTATAGTTGGAGTTTTCTTGCCAGCTTCGCGTGTTGATTACTGAAGAGCTGGCCTGTTAGAAGGCCGAAGCCGGAGAAAATTCCAAGTGCCTGGCTCGCGACTTGGTTTGATACAGCCATTGGTGCTTTCACAGTATTCACCATGGAATAAAGACTTTCTCTCTGCAGTAGTGGTATTGTTCAGCCACCGCCTAGGGGTGGAACAGGGCTTGTGATGTTGTTGATGTTGAATGAACTCGTGTCACACTCATGTGATTACCAGGATTTCCATGTTCAAGCCTCTACAATGTCCCAAAGGAAAGCAGATCTCTATTTAGCGTGTTCCCTGGATGTCTAGTATGGCGGTCGCATAGGAAAATAACTCGTGCGGATTGCTGGCTTCATCTAAAGATAGGTCCAAATTACACCGTTTCCCATCCCAGGTCAGGATTTTCTGCAAGCTGTAGTAGCCAGGCAGGTATCACCAGTCTGATGCCGCATGGTTAACAACGAAGATACTTAGACGACCCGTCCATCTGCTGGGCGATTGGCCTTGCGCGGGTCCCAGCTTCTCTTCCATCGTTCTCGGTCTTGAGCTATAGTTGTCCAATGGACAGACACCTTAAGGGACACGGGATCAATTACGTTGTTGCGATAAGCTAGAGAGTCTGCCCAACGTACTGGAGACGGCCGGGTGGCCGTTTGTTTTTGCGTGGGTACCATTGTACAGTTGTAGCACTCCATCTGCCATCATTTCTCCTCATCAAATGACCAGCGAATCTGTGTTTTGCCTCATCGACGTGAAGGAGGGCGTCTTTCACTTTCGATATGGCTCTGATGTCCGAGTTGTGAAGCTCTAGCTCTCGTTGTCGTCTCAAAGTGAAACCCACTAAACGGCGTTCGATCGACCTCTGGGCGGATTTAGGTGTATAGCAAAGCGAATGTTCCTCCTGGCTTCGACCGGTTTGTGATTCAGTAGAAGTTCGTCAATCTGAGCGTGAAAGCCTTGGCCCTCTTGCTCAGTCGTCTCTTTCGAAAGAGCGTGAAGCGGGCATGATTCGGGCATAGATTGATCCACGATGAGGAGTCTTCTTGATTGTATACAGAAATCGCAAAATGAAGCTTTGGACTTAGGTGCAAAAAAGCGCTACAAACTTATGGGACAACCTATGGGGAGTAGATAGGTTAGCTTATAAACCGAACTACATAGAATTTCTTGGGGTCAGCTATTGCTTCTAATAAGCGAGGAAAACCTTGCTTCGGAATCGTGAGATTCGAAGCCTCCTAGGAGGTAGTAATTTATAATATAGTTCTAGAAATCGTTGAATTGTGATTTTTCTTTTTTCAGGAAACACGGACGACCGTTTCTATTAGTTGTAGAGTACAGTAGCCAGCGCCCTAATTTTGAAATTGATGAAGCAAGCCTTCGTCTCATGTCTGTTTTGAAATAATGGAAGTCTGACATTTGATGTCTGCTCGCTTATGTTGTGTGTGGAACGTATCAAAAAGGTAATGTCTGCTGCTTATGTTTCTTTTTCTTATATAAAAAACATATAACTGACCTGCACGTAGCCGTCTTTCAGTGTTAAGTCTAACAATTGAGGTAGTCACTGCCTACTTGAGCCCTCTCACACACAGAAATGGCAGTTAACACGTTGACTTTCGCATGGGGCAGACTAGTTTTCCTTAATTTATTTGGTGTTTTCTCCTGTTCCACAACGGTCCATGTACATTATTGATCCGAAAAACTATTTCTTCACTGATAATGAAAACGCTGAAGGATTGATGCCTATTGATGAGAGAATACGAAAAATGTTGAAGCAGTACGCGCACAACGGCGGTCGTCAACGTGTTAATGGAGCAGCGCTGACTTTCTTGGGTCATCTTTTTGTATACGGCAGGAATGTGATGCTGGGAGCGCGATTCCTCTTTTGTTTTCCTTTTTCTTCAGCTGTTATACGAGTTTAGCGATTGTTTGTTTGTTTGTTTTTCGTCTAAACATACTTGTACCGAACTAACACCTTCTGCCCTGTTGTAGCGCACCATTGAGTGCATAAATAAATAAAAAATAAATAATAACTATAACATGTCATACCAAAATCTTGTACAATTTTATCTCAGCATCGTACCTCACTGTGTGTGGGTGAAGTCGCCTTGCGAAGGCTTTCAACCCTAGCGCTATTAGTATGGATCATGCTGCGAGATATGTTGAGCCCTGCCATTTTCGCCCCACCCCCATGTATAATCTATAAATATATTAAATTATTAATGATTGCAATATAAAGTGTTATTCACAATGTCAGGCAGGCCATGGTGCGTTAAATCTACTCGTCAGATAACGAATAGCTCTACGAATCGTATTAACAAGCAGTGCAATAGGAGCCAGGTCCCCTGAGATTCCATTGTTGAGACATGGCTTACATGTGATCATAAACCCAAAGTCGGTACACTGCATGGAGGCATTGTGTTGGGAGGCTTCAGAAATCTTGATGGAAGTGAGAAGCATGGCGCACACAGGAAAGTTGACGTCGAACACGTTGCTCCTTCAGGAAAATGGATCGTCTGCGATCTTACCGCATAAATTCATAAATTTCATTAGTATAATGGGCACCACCAATATAGGCAAAAAAAATGATAAATGTGAAATTACCAATAAAAACCACATTACCACAACTGCAACAATTTTATTCAAGTGCGAGCAAAGCGAGTATTTTTGCAAGGCTTCCTAGGAGGGAACCCTTTGTTACATTTGTATAAGGCATCCATATATTGTTTGGCAGTTATTTCTAGCCAGTAGCCAACTGTTCCATCTTCGGACACGTATCTGACATAGATAGGGTCGTGAGTGTCCTGTAAAATATCATAAAACTATGTTGCTGATTCTTTTCATAAAAACAAAGTCATGATGAGGGACAGCACTTTACCGTCGTGTTACATACTTTATGCATATGAAACGCACCTCGTAGGAAAGCATGACGACGTTACCAAAGCCCATTTCTCTGTTTTTAATTATAGGAAGAGCCACCAGCGTTCTATAACCTACGACTAGATCCTTAGTACTCTGTAAAGCATTGGGCAGTATTACCATAATCATACCACTTTTCAAAATAGTTGAGTCAACTCACAAATTTCGTTCCAAAGCTGGTCGAAAATTTCTCTTGAAGAGATCTATCATAATCTCCATATTTTTGGTATAACAGTTTCGTTGTGCGATAGCATTTTTGCGCTACAGAATGCATTACGCATAGCACAATGGGCAATGCGTTAGTTTCATTTGTGATAGGTGCTGGTGGAGAGCCGATGTATAGAAAAACGGATGACAGACGACGGTGCAGCACTGACTGCTAGCGAACTTTTATAGCCGCTGCTGCCCTGTACGAATTATTATTTTTGGCGTGTGCACTGCCGCTGAAAAAAGGTCTCTAGATTGACATGGGGTTAGTTGCTGCTGACAAAAGAAAGAAATGGTAATGTTTGGCTAAGCTTTCAAGAACCTCAATGATCAATACGTGTCAGCACTTGAAAATCTGTTGTCTTTCAGAAAACGGGTAGTTGCCAAGAAAAAACTTAACTTCAACCACACTGTGCAGCGAGAGTCCCTGCTATGAAACTGACAGGAAACTTTTTTTTAGCATTCACGTCGTTAAGGTGGGGGGGGGGGGAGACATTGAGGTGAGTGAGTAAATTGCAGAACTTGGGAGTAAGTCTTAGGAAGGATATGGATTCTGGGTGAGGACGTTAGTAACCTTTCTTTTCCGTAGGCTCTTCTCTCCTAGTTTGGCTCTGGATTAGTCCCAAGTGCCACGTAGCAACGGTTCTCACGATCAGATGCCCTGTTTCGAATGTCCCTAAAGACATGAGCGCCCTTTCTGTACAGGATGGCCAGAAGTTACGGTAAGAGGGTGAAGCGATTATGGAAAAACAAAAACATGCTTGCTGAAGGATGGTAAACGAAAAACCACACGGTCCTTCCCATTATTCACTATCCGCTTTGGAAGAGGAGTGAAGCCTTCCAGGGGATGAGCCGACCACGTCGTGTTGATACACGGCCTCAGTGCGTTCCAGCATTATAAAGCGGTTTCTTGAATCCATTTCTCCTTAATGCCGGCTGCAGATGCTCGTCTTCACCATTCTTCGTGCAGCGTAAACCAGTGGATTTGAGTTGGGAATCTTGGATGGTCACTTTCCAAATGCAACACATTCTAGGCAGTTCACCTAGCAAGAAGTTTGCGCAAATTTCTTATGTGCCGCTCTACAAAAATGTTCGATGAGTCTTTTTGGTTCCTGAAGAGGTAAAGCAGTGTCTGGTTTTCTGTTCGCATGATTTCAACACCCACATTTTATTATTTTCAAAGGGTCGCCGTCGTCCAACCCTGGAACTACCGGCTATGGATATGTAGCATCAATGAGTGACTCGCCCACTTTTTTGAAGTTAATTCAAAATCTCGAATTTTTCTAGAAATTGGCCCCAGGAGTTATTGGACTACTTGAACACAGATCTCACATTCGTTTACTCAAAAACGGCTGAAGCGCGCGCTCCGTATACTGGCGCGCCTTAACCTTATGTAGTGGCATGCAAGTTAGGAAAAATTTCGAAGTTATCGACCTCAAACTCATCCAAAAGCAAGTAGGGCTGACCAATGATGAAGGAATCATGTTTCACTACTGCCAAATAGTCAGTCACAAAAATGCAAAAGGAAAAACACGCGGCGGATCCGAACCACTGACCCGAAATCCCAAGCCCACCACCTTTAACCACTAGGCCACCAGCACCCGATCAAAGAGGCTCACTGCTTCGTTCACAAGCCGCTGCTGCTGAGGCCGATTTCTCACTGTGTTAAACTGTGTGAGGGAACAAAAAACCTCCGTAACTCCGTTCAGCGAATCGTTTGGCAGATTTGGGAAGAAGATTCGAGATCAGCGTCCGAAACCACATATGTGATACTTGTCTCATTTCATATGGCCACTTCGACCCTTCATCCTTCCCTAGTAAGATAGACGCTATGAATCACGTGACGTTGGCCCTAACGCCTCTTATCCCCTTATGAGCAGTTATAACTGTCGGTGCAGGGTCAACCCTGCGTTGCGCAAAGAACAACGAGGGGGTCGTATTCAGCCGACCGAAAAGGGAGGGGGTCGTATCCACAGACGGGCTGCAAGACGGCTTGAAAAGTGCAGTGTCCGGGAGTGCACTTTCAGCCTCTAATGTTCTCCAGGAGCTCTGCACGCTGTCGGAGAGTCACACCTTGCTGCGACCAAGAGATTTCGCGTGCGCCGTGCGTTGCCCAGAGTCAACCCTGCGTTGCGCAGTTTCGCCCGATTAGACACGTTCTCTCGCGCGAACATTCACACTCGCATGCTCGAGCCGTCTGTGTCTCCGCCCATACAGCGTGCGTTGAGGATCTCTCAACGTGCCGTTGCGAACTGCGCAACGCAGGGTTGACTCTGCTCACAGCACCAATCACCGCTATTTTGACAGCCAGTCTATGCAGAATAATTGTTCATAATCGACCCTGTTTACGTGAGTTACAGTAATGGAATTCATGATGTTTTTGTGTCATGAGAGAGTGAAATTTTATGTATCTGTCCATCTTTGGTTCCAAAACGAATTCAGACGTGGTTGTTTCAGTAAAAACACATATCTCTACCATGCGAATAGGTTTGTATTCTCTCATATTCTTCCTTTTTATCCACATTTTTCATTTACGTTAATGAAAAGAAAACGAGGAATGAACTGAACAGACATATCCGTAAGGTCTGGAAAACCTCTAAACTAAAGAATATTTGGCCTTTCTGTGAGCCATGTGGTTTTAAGTATGCTAATGTATGGCCTATAGAATGAGTACAAAAGACCTCAGGAATAAGTCGCCGCTAATGCGCAAACGCTGGGATGACTTGGCTGATGCGTTTTATCCGGGCGTACGCTGTCGTCAAAGTCTCAACACTCGTGCTTGATTGACGCTGTGACGTTGAACCTTGAGCAGATATATATTACTACTAACTTAAGTTCAAACACATAATCAAATGGCTTGAACTTTCTTCAAAATTGGCGGATTTCTAATCTTATAGCAGGTGAGGAATTTTTTGATGAGCTCCTTCTGACAGGTATTGAAAATTTATGTAAATTGATAAGAAATGACCAATGCAGATCAATAGCTCGAGGTAGACCAAAATTGCTACGGACCCTTCGACATTGATAATTTATAGGCGAATAAGAGTAAATTTTAGTCCTTGCCGACCAATCTTGGTACACGCATCGATCATTCTCCCTGATTTGTCCTCTCGACAGTGTTTAGTAGATCCGGCCGACTACTTCCTCTCAGCAGGCCAAATACGACTCTCCCCTGCCAACCTGTCGATGATTCCTCAACGGCTTGGCTCTGCAGCAAACCCCTCACAAACGTTTTTCATTTGGATTAATACGAGAATGTCACATGTTTTGAATGTCAAAATCGTCGCAAAAAGGCTGTTTTCCAAACAGAACACACAAAGTGCAAGCTCTGGCGATGCTGACTTCACACAAACCTGATTATCGACACTGAACGATGTATTGTCAAAATGTTTAGATAAAGTTGCAATTCCTTTCAAACCTATTAACAATGAACACGCTCCTCGAATTCTGCTGGCCCATTCATCTTAAAACGGTTAGCTCAGAACTGCTCTCCATATCTGCTAAAAGATGCGTTGAACCGAGTTGTGGAGGTTTCTTGGCGTTTTTGCAGGTAATCGACATGAGTGCGTAGCGATAAAATCGTGGCGTGGCTAGGGCGCTCTGCGCTAAGCGCCGGCTGTTGCTAGAATTCTGTATAAACACTGAGAATGTAAGGCAAGTCGAAGTTTTTTGTCATGGAACATGGAATATGAATCAAGTGTCCCGTTAAAATGCAAGCTCCTTGCCCCTTGCCATTATTTATAAACTTTTCCTATCATGCTTATGTTAGTGGCTTCCTCACCGTGCTTCCGTATCATGGGACGGCAACTTTTTTTTTTAGAGCAAGAGATGACGATCAAGTGTGCGTGCAGCGTGGAAGTACATGCACCAGTGGAAGCAGTATTTAGGGACCAAAGGAAGTCAAATGTGGCGTTTTGTGGGCCATAGGTGCGCTAGGTGCAGCGCACTGGACTTGCCAGCACTCCTTTCTGAGCGCCGCACACGGCCTGTGCTTCCGCTCCAGCAGCGTCTTTCGATCATCATTCTGATGAAGTATTCTGCTTTTGTGCGCATCCTATAACTTTCCCATGGGGCTCGTTACCAATCAAAGCATGGCCTTTGCTGGTATGATGGTGGCTATGGTTCAACATTGCAAAGCCAGTCTAATGGTTGCTACCTCGCTCATTAATCGAAGATCACTCTATGATGGGGAATCCGAGCATTGCATTGATGAATGAAAGAAATTAATTTCAATAAGGGTAACTTTGCATTGGTACAACTCTGTACTGTGAGTCTCAAATCACTGTGGAGATCTTAAGTTGACGTTACTTGGCTTACTGATGTCTAGCACTTACCAATTATCTGCCCCACCCGCAATTGTGGGCATGGCCAATTGCCGCGCGCGACGCTGCCCGCGTGAGCGGCGTGACCTTATTGGCTTACGATTGAACTGACCTTCTCCCAATGGTAGATATTTCAACCATATCGGTAGAAGTGTTGTGTTTATTATAAACAAATGGTCAAGACTAGTTGATAAACAGTAAACAAAGTAGGAACGTCATTCGTGAACATTAAGGAATCAGTAATAATTTAGCAACAGGTAGAATTTTCCAGACGAGATAGTCCCCCGTCAACCGCCGGGACCTTCCTTTCCTGCGCAAGCTTTCTATCCTCCGCTATGGTCCCTTCCTCCTGTGACACCAACACCTGGAAGTGACGCGTATGCAACACAATGGTGTTTCATACAGTAGAAGGGACACAATCATGATATGACGGTAGATTTTTCGCTTCCCTTCCTCATCCTCCCTTCCTCTCTCCACTGCCCTCCAGCTGCCACTGCAGCACCATGTGGAATGAACGGAAGTGTGCTAAGCAGGTGTTTATATAGCCCTAAGAGTGTTATCACAACTATCCTGCTACAAAACATTGATATCTCAAATCCTGTAAGCTACCCGATTTGTTAGCGGTTTGTTTATCCCATGAGCTTCCTTCTCACTCACTTCATTTTGCGGACGGACACACACATACATACACACACACACACACACACACATACAGATACACAAACCGACACACAAAGTTAGCGCT